AAGACCCGGTCCGTCCTTTGCTCTTACTCGCAGCTCTATTGAACTCTCCGTTTCATAATCAAGTGACCCGATAACTTTTACCTCTCCTGTCTTATGATTAAGTGAAAACAAAGATACATGTTCATCAGAGACATGATCGAAGTTATATGTAATATCACCATTTGGGCCAGTGTCTGCATCGGTTGCGCTCACTGTAACAACTACGGTATCTAAAAGAGAGTTTTCAGGCAGACTGGCTTCATAAACGGCCTGGCTGAACACTGGGGCGTTATCATTAGCATCCAGCACAGTGATGTGAATAATTGCAGTTCCTGATCTCTGAGGAGATCCACCATCTACAGCTGTAAGCACTAATTTCAGCCCTTTCTCTTTTTCTCGGTCTAGTTCTTTTAACAAAACCAATTCGGAATGTTTCCTCCCACTAACATCTGTATTTACATTAATGGTGAAATGCTCATTGTTTTGTAAATTGTAACGTTGGACAGCATTTGTGCCTATGTCGGCATCGCGGGCTTCCGTAAGTAAAAATCTCGCTCCTTTGTCTGCCGATTCTCTTATTTCAAGTGAAATCAGATCCTCACTAAACTCTGGCGCGTTATCATTTATATCTTGCACATGAATACTGATGCGATGAAGCTCTAAAGGGTTTTCCAGCACAAGCTCCTCTTTTAAAACACAGCTGGCTTTTTTACCACAAAGACTTTCCCTGTCGATCCTGTCACTGACAGTCAAATCTCCGGTGCTCAGATTAATATCACAATACCTTTTATCGTCCCTGTCTGTGTCAATGCGGCCTTTACGCGAGGAAAGAGTCGCAATCCCAAGACCCAGATCTTTGGCGATATTCCCTATCACAAATCCGCCTTTCATTTCCTCTGCGATAGTGTAGCTCACGTCTCCATGGGCGAAATGCAAGGCCACGAAAAGGAAAACCACACAATAGCAATTCATAGCCAATCTTCCGTATACTGCACTTCCCATGATCGATCAAGGTTTAATCCTTTCCTGGAAAATTCCTTGGAAGTGATCAAAAATAGTGCTCTTTTTAAATATTCTAAATAATCCCAGCGTTTGCCTTTTGTTACGTCCTTAACCTAGACACGCTACACCAAAATAAGCCTTCGCAATGGCAGAAAAGAATGGATGAAGAACAGAGACCTCCTGTCTTTGTTGGTGCACAGTGACACCAAGAGTTTCGTTAAATTATAGCACCACAAACCCAAACAAGAGGCCAGCTTCGAGTTATAACGCCCTTATTAATCAATAAAATTATTGACACTGTAGGGACTTCGGGGTTATTTTGTCATTCATACTGATTTCTTTTCTTTTTTTTTCCAATTGTGGTGCGCTTTTCAATGAAATAATAAACCACATGTAAAACAAATCCATGTGTAATCCTGCAAAAGACAATTAAAAGTACTAAGTCTATAGAAAGCAACTTGTGTGCACATGAGCCAAAATTAATGATCTTAAGGGATAGTGGCAATATACTATTTTCATTATCGACCATCTCTCAAGCACACTTCAAGGAAGACCTCTAGTATTCATTTCTACATCAGACATAAAATAAGTTCCTGAGAAATCAATAAAAGGGAACCACAAATATTGTCATAATGTAAACTG